AAATTGACCAGTACTTATGTAGGAGGATATTGTTTTGGAATTCAGTTTTTGTTTTAGGAATGTGTCATGTAACCTGTGACTGTAATATCTTGTACATAGATTTCAATTATTTAAGGCCTTAAAATTCCCCACGGTTTCTAACTTGGATTATATCCAGACAAACCAAGGCTATGTAAGAATGTAACAGTGCTGTAGTATAAGAGCATGCTTTGTAACAATGTAAAAATATTGTACACGTAATTACCAGGAAGTGCCATGTTAAAGTAACATTTGGTATTAGTATAATCTGGCACTCGCAGAGCATTGACTGTGTTTTTTGACAGTGATAAAGAGTTTGCTCTTGTTCTTTAGAACTAACGCGTGCGAGATTTCGCACCAAATTAAATATTACTGTTAAAAAAAAATAAAGTGTATCGTGTTTTTCTTTTGTACACTCTTGGACCATAGAAAAGACGCCAGGGAGTGTTCAAGAAACGTTACTGTGAAACCACTCGCCTCGTGGAGATTCCACTTGAGGTTGGACATTTTCCCAGAGTCTGATGAAAACGCGATAGTGTGTTTTGAAGACCTGTAAAGTTTGTGTCAGCGAAGTAATGAAAAAGCAAAGTAAATGCAAATTTAATTTCTTTCGACCTCAAGTGAAAACCGCTTCCCTGTTGAGGAGAAGTTAGTCTCCTCCGATCCGCAGCCGTTTATGGGGGATGTCACGCAACGCTCAGCGTTGCGTGACACTAAAAAAAACTGCTGCGGAGGAGACTAGAGAGTAGTGCAATTTGACGTCGATTCATCTCAGAAAACAGCTGGAATTCAGCCCCGGCCCAGCCGTGACGCAGTTTTTGTTTTGTTGTTGTTGTTGTTGTTGTTGTTGCTGTTTTCCGTATATAACTAATAAGGTAGACGAACTGGCTGAGCTACTAAACGTCGATTTTGACGCGAAATCTGGGATGAATGATGTCGGATAATGGCGACCAAACGGATGAAGAGATTTGCAACCTTTTGCTGCTTGAAAATGTTAATCGTGTTAGGAAGGCTATACATAATAACAATATTGCATGCATCTAGATCAGTGTTCAGGAACTGTTATCTTTAAGTCTTCCGATCGGTCATTCCAGCTGATGCAGTCATTTGTGCATCACCGCGTCTTCTTTATCTTTCTTTCTTTTAATTTTAATTAAACTAAAAAAATTACTAAATCTTTTCACTCCTTTGTATGAGTGATAAAGCCCTGTTTCCTACGC